TTATTTGTGGAACGTTCCTAGTCTTGCGTCCTCTGCAATACAATTTATGATAAGGTATAGCATCTGACCATTAACTTGGTAAATTCCCAGAGGTTTCGCCGATATCGTTATTAAGAGGCGCTATCCTTAGCATAGAGTTAAAACTTATCATTATGGCAAGGGGAAGCAATCCCCTTGACCAGATTCTTTTTCAGTTATGATAGCATCACACCTCGCTCATCTGGGCTCTTATGTTCTAAATTACATTTACTCCCCTCATCCCGCTTGTCCATGGTTTTATGCTACACATTAAAATCACTACTTATCTGGCTTCCTAAAGGCCTTGATTCAAGTCCAAGTTTTTCATCATTTTCGAAGATTAAATTAGCTGCTCTTCATATGCCTAGACACTTCTCTCTCCCAAAGCTTTAGAGCGATAATCAATTAACTCACTTTCTCTTCCCCAGCCAATTATTTCTCATTTTATGGGAAAATGTGTCTGATTTATCTCGTAACCGCTGGTATAAAATTAGACTGATTTCCGTCTCCATTCCTGAATCACGCACAGCTTACTCATCTTGTTTCTCAGACTGGCAGTCCCCCCAAATATAAAGTTTTTTATAGGCTTTGCATATATTAGATGCACCGTGATTTCCATAGTCAGGAATACCCCTATTAGCCTCTCACTACAGGCAGATATACGAAAAACAAACATATATACACGCACGCACACACACGAATTAGGAACTTATGATTTTATAATTTGCTTGGTTTCCATACCAAGACGAATTAGAAATCGACATAGGTCCTTAGTTTATAATCTCTAATGCTGTACATTTGGGATGTTTATGGCGCTTAATTTCCTATCCCACAAGTGGATCAACCCCAGGAAATTTTCAGGCTAATTCGATTTCCGACTCCTCCCACTGGTATAGCATTTTCTTGACTTTCATTTTGGCAATATTATCCTCTTCTTGGCTATGTGTATTCCTGCTATTGAATAGATCTTTCTGGTCAAATCATCGTCTTTTAGCTACTCTTTCTGTAGCTTCAAGTCTGTCCAGGCCATATGCGGAATTTTTGTAGACTCTTTTATCTTGAAACCTCTTGCTTACTAGATGGATCAGAACAGAAATGTCTACAGCCTCCCTGTATATTTGATTTGCTCATTTTAGGGGATTTTTAGATTCTACTAAAGTAGATAGCAAGCAGTATACATACATTTTCTTACAGTTCAACAAGAAGCTATCGCAACATCAAGGGTGATAATTATTAGCTCCTATTTAATCAGACCTCAACAAACTATAAAATTATCTAGAAAGCTATGGGATGCTTTATCTTGATTCCAATAAACGTTTGTGTTTATATAATTACAGTTTTTAACGAAAGAAAGCAAAATAATACAAATGCAATCATTTAGAGCTGTATGCTAATATAAATGAACCATCGCTTTAATGTATTAATTAAAGTATTAAAATAAAAATCAAGAAATCAGCACTTTTAATGTATCACTATTTTGTTATCAGATTTAGTGCGGCTATGTGATTTATGGCTAACTGCTGAAAACGGGCCTAACGTACGGCCTGTCCTTAGTTAGTAGTTTCAAAAGTAATATGTCTATTGTATCCGCTTGGTTACCTCTCGTTAGGGCATCAGCTCTTGGGTGGATACCACTATGCAAAGAGGCTCTTCCTCAGTTAGATGCAGAAAAATCTCCTCTTATTACAGATAAAAAAATTATCATTAATGTGAGTGGATCTAAATATGAGATGTGGAACGGTACTTTACAGCGGTTTCCTGACACACTCTTAGGATCTGATGAAAGGGAATATTTTTACGACGAAATAAATAAGGAATATTTTTTTGACCGTGACCCTGATATTTTTAGATATATCTTGGCTTATTATAGAACTGGAAGCCTTCATTATCCAAAAAACGAATGCGTTTCTGCTTACACTGAAGAACTTGCGTTTTTTGGTATCATGCCAGATATAATGGGTGACTGCTGCCATGAGGAATATCGTGATAGAAAAAAGGACATATTGGAACGTTTAATGGACGATAAGGAAGAAGTATCATCAGTAATCATACGTTCAAATACGGCTAGAAAAAAGCTTTGGCGAGTTTTTGAAAACCCTTATGCTTCCACTTCTTCTTTAGTTGTTTACTATGTTACTGGATTTTTCATTGCCGTTTCTGTCATCGCAAATGTTGTCGAAACTGTTTCCTGTGGTAAAGATATCGAGAAGGGGAAAAATAAAGCCTGTGGAGAACAATTTTTTAGTGGATTTTTTTGTTTGGACACAGCATGTGTTCTAATTTTTACTGTTGAATACTTAACTAGGCTTTATTCCGCACCGTATCGATGTAAATTCCTATGCTCTGTTATGTCAATAATAGACTTAGTTGCGATTCTTCCCTATTATATTGGTATTGGCTTACCAGAAAATAAGGATTTATCTGGTGCATTTGTAACTCTTCGCGTATTCCGTGTTTTCCGGGTGTTCAAATTTTCTCGACACAGCCAAGGATTACGGATTTTGGGATATACACTTAAGTCCTGTGCCTCCGAGCTTGGATTTCTTCTCTTTAGTCTAACTATGGCTATTATAATATTTGCCACTGTCATGTATTATACAGAAAAAATTGATGAAGAGACAAAATTCTACAGCATACCCGCTGCCTTCTGGTACACAATTGTCACCATGACGACATTGGGGTAAGTCGAATTTACTTGAATTCATGACGTAAATCCTCTTATAGTTCTTGAGTACTATTTTATCTATTCTCTTGAAGTGCAAGTATTTTAAATTTAATTTCGATAATCTATTCTGATTAAAACTGATTTCTTTTGATAAATAATAGGGAAATAATTGTTTTGCTTTTAAGTGTGACACTAGATGATCTTGCAATGATATCAGACATTATCTTCTGTTTTTCAAAGAAGTGGTCTTATCTCATTTATATAACTTGTGCTTGGCATCAGTTACGCTTCGAAGAATGTACTTCGTACTGATTTATATACTACATTTCTCATGATTTCGTCAGACATCCAACATTTGACTAGGTTTCTCCTCAGCATCGTAGTTGGCATAGTCAGTGAGCTTCGCCATCTAATACACCGAGCTGCACCACGTCAAAGAGACAGCTGAATTTCATTCCATGATATATTTTTTACTTAACGTTTCTAGTTTCTCTCCTACTCAATAGAGCTATATATTTATCTCTCACTTAGCACATTTTGTACCTTGTTTATTCTGATATTCAACAGAAATTTTCCCTCCATAAATTTCCGATTAAGCATGGTCTTTTCATTCAGTAAATTTGTTCGCTCAACTTCTATACCATTTTTCCTAGTGCACTCAATCATCCGTTTTAATATCTTGCTGATTGGCCTTTCCGGTTCTTGCCACAATAACTACCTTACGACTTCGGTTTCCACGATTAAAAAAAAATGATAACTCGTGCAT